ACCCGCGGGGAACCCGACTCCTGTCCCCGCGGCGCCCCCTCCCACGGCCTCTGCCGAGAGAGCGCGTCTCCCGAGTCCCTGCGTGAGGTCCTTGGGCCCCGTGGGGAAGACGTCTTCCCTTCCCGGCTCCCATCGCCTGCACTTTTTATATCTCTTCTTGAAGAACGACTGGTCATTTCAGGCCTCATCAAACCTTTCTTGATTAATAAACGGTCATCGTTCATTTTGCTCTGTGCGTGTGCACACACTGTATATTTTTGTAATTCAACACCACAGGATCCACGAAGAGTTCTTCACCTGAAATTAAGAAAAGCGATTACAAATTCATGGTTCACCACAAGCGCCAGAAAACCCAACTGAAGACTGAAGATAGGATGGAATCAAACGGAATAGGCATCCGTTTTGATAAGATCTCAGGTTATTGGACTCGCTTTATAAAAGGCCGCAAACAGGAGCTAGACAGCCTGAGTTCAAAGCCCAACCCTGCCATTTACTGGTCACTTGCAAACACTTACCCTCTCTGTGCCTCAACGTTCTAATCTACAAAATGGGGATAAGGGAGCTGCAAAACAGCTCCTACCCTCCTACCGTGAGGATTAAATGAGTCAGCGGTTCTGAAGGGTTTTATTCTGCGCGGCTCATAGTACCAGACAAGCTTATCATGGGTTGTAACAAATAAACACATTCCACCGCTGGCACACAGCTTAAGACTCAGTGATATCACATAGCTACTACTGTGACAAATATTCTGTTGTTTTTTGTTTGTTTTTTAAATCATAACTGAGGCCTTTCATGAAAAAAAAAGGAAACTTGATTTTTGGGCTTCATAGGCAGGCTGCACTGGTAAATTATTCACCATGAGGCTGTGCCCTTCGACTTTTCAAAGATAATTTCTTAAAAGGGATTCCCCGAGGTAACAACACTCATAGCTCTGCTCATAAGATCACCTCAAAAGCAAATGTAACAGCCCAGCTGGTGTGGCTTGGTGGTTGAGCCTGGACTTTTCCACCAGGAGGTGGGCAGTCCGCCTGCAGGGAGTGTGCAGGAGGCAGCTCATTGATGTTGACGTTTCTCTCATCCATGTTTGTAATTCTACTTTCCTCTCTCTCTAAAAATCAATTTAAAAAATTTTTTAAAACGCAAATAAAACAATAATTTGCTGACTGAGGACTGGTTGTCACTTAATTGTTTTATTGATTGATTTTGAGAGAGAGAGAAAGAAACATCGATTTGTTGTTCCACTTATGTATGCATTCATTGGTTGGTTTTTGTATGTGCTCTGACCCAAAACCTTGGTGTACCAGGCCGATGCTCTAATCAACCAAGCAACGAGGATTGGTTGTCATTTAAAAACACCTCAGAGCTATTTAGAAATTCCTCAGACCATGGATGAACCTGGGGGATTTTATGTTAAGTGAAAGAATCCAGGTACAGAAAGACAAATACTGCATGGTATTACTTAGATGTGGACTCAGGAAAAAAAAAAAAGGTTGAACTCATAGAAACAGTAAAAAATAAAATATAAATAAATAAGTAAATAAATAGTGGTTGGCAGGGGCAGGGAGGTGGGGAAATTGGGAGGAGTAGGTGAAAGGGTACAAACTTTCGGTTATAAGATGAATAAGATCTGAGGATCTAAAGTGTACATGACTATAGTTGATAACACTGTATCATATAATTAAAATTTGCTAAGACAGTAGAACTTAAATGTTCTCACCAAAAAAAATAAAGATTAATATGTGTGGTGATGGATGTCTTAACTCGGGGGAAATCCATTCACAGTATATGTATATCAAATCATCATGTTGTATACTTTAAATATCTTACCATTTTATTTGTCAATTAAACCTCAATAAAGCTGGGGAGGAGAACCTACACTGGATATTTATTTAAAAAGAAAACAAATGCCTGAGAAAAAATTATTTATATGGTCACCTAAATACTAAGTTTTTTTAGCATTTAGATTTTCATAACTGTAAATGATAACATGTATTTTTAAAAACTCTATTTTCATTTTTAAATGTTAAGAAAAAAGATCTGAGGAAGAGTGATGGTGATATGTGACATCTATAGCTGATTCACCCGATCTTTTAACTATGAATTGTATAATTTCTTAGCCAATCAGCACCTATCACAGTCTGACATATAGTAGATACTAATTAAATGTTTGTTGAAAGTATGAATAAAACAAATTACTATTTTAAAATCGGAATTAATTGTGGTGTTTTATTCTCTCAAAAATAAACAATGAATGCTGAGAGTTACATTTTCCTCTCATATCTGTTTCTCTGACTATTTTCATTTTCTGCATTAAGCAAGCTTTTAAGCTTCTTAGTGACATTTCACTGATGTAAGAAGAATTTTAATGCCATCTGTCTTAAAAGGACTTCTTTATTTCAAAATTCAAAGTACTGTAAACAGAGAATTGGCAGAAACCTGTCATCTGGCCCAGCCTTCCTCCCTCAGCAGATGAATGATTTAATTATCCACTAGGGAGACCTTTTGCCCCTTTCATGTCTTTTTCACTTGACTAGTCAAGAAATCGTTCCTCATGGAAACTATACCCCAATATCTCCACTTTAATTAAATCCTTTTCTGCTGGTTTGGACATCCACAGATATTAAGAATAGCTTACCTTCATGACCTTGTGAAAACATTTATACAGTTATAAATTTAAATTTTTTCTTTAACTAAAATTCCCAAATCTATTTACTTTTATCTCTGGGGCCTATTTCCATAGAACCTTGTAAAGACCTTCTAATCACTTTTGTTATTTAAGCTACATAAATTGAACTCCAAATTGAAAGCTTTAAAGGGTAATTAATATTGCAAAAGGCCAAATGGTGGCTTTGACAAACACTGGACTCAGATTGTGGTGGATTGTATTATTGGTTCACCATTTTTTGTTCCACCCTGGCAACACTTCCTC